CTGGTTGAATGGACATGGGGAATCAGGGGTGGAAAGGAGGAGTGTGCTGTCACAGTATACGGAGAGCAATTAGGGTCACATAACAATGTATATATAAATTTTTGTATGGGAAAAAAATAAAAATTTTTTAAAAAATAAAAATAAATGGAGCCCTCTGGCTGCTCATGGGTAAAGAGACTGGGGGAGATAGGCTGGGAGCCAGAAGACCACACCCAAGGAGGCCAGAGGGAGCCTCCTGCACTGCAGGGCTGGGTGGAGTCCTACCTAAGTCCCAGGCCCAGGTCAAATCTCCAGGGCGTCCTGTAGGATCAAGGCCATAGCACTGTCAGAGACTAGCCCTTTCTGGGGCTGAGGGGTTGGGGCAGGACTCACAGCAGGATCTGCCATGCACAAACATCCCATCCTTGGCCCAGGGACACCTCTGTGCTGAGCCCCTCATAGCTACACAGCCATGTGCTCACAGACCCTCGTGAGCCCCCTGCCACAGCAGCGTGTACGGTGGCCCTATATACAGAGGAGGAAACCAAAGTGCACTTAGCATGGTTAAGCTGCCTGCCTGAGCCGAACGTCACACAGGTCCAGACCACGCTTCAGCACCACCTCCGGCAGGCTTCCTACTCTTGCCGGAGCTCCCACATCCCTGGCTTCCCTGAGCATATCAGTGAATGAGGGAGGGAGGTAGGGAGACCCTGTCTGGACACCTGTCCTGCACAGTTCAGAGCCTCCCACCTCCAGGCCTCCGCACCTGCTGACCCCTCTGCTTGGAGCACTCTCCTTTCCTGTATCCCTCCGACTCATCTTTCAGGTCATCATCCTCTCCAGAAGACCGATCCCCACTTCCCTCACCCACAAGGCCCCTGCCCAGGATCCATCATGGCCCAGCTCACACTAAGATAGCGCTTCCCCTCTGGGCAGGTCCAGCTCCTGTAGAATGGGTTATAAGAAAACATTCCAAGGGAAGGAAGTGGCTGCATGGACAGAGGGTGAACCTCGGCTGTTATCTTTAGCCAAGGAGCACTTGCCACAACTTAACTGGGAATGGTTTGTGTAATGGAGGTGTGTCCACCAACAGGACTGGGGTTGCTGCCAGGAGTTGATTACAGTGTGGGAAAGCCCTCACAAAAAGTGGGCCACACAGGAAATAAAATCGTGTCCTCCATGCCTTCTCAGCTGCGAATTGTGTGGTGGGCAAGGCCCCCAGGGAAGTGCTGGGAAGAACTGCCCAGCAAGGGTGGCAGCAAGGGCAGCTGTGCTTCTTTCAAAACTTCGTCCACTCACTCAGAACAAGAGGAACATTTCTGTGTGCTCCCCCATTGCATGCTGTGCTGAGGGGTTCCATGGGCTCTGGGTGATCAGCCTGGGCTTCACAGAGCAATCCAGAGAAGATCTGTGAGGGTTCAGAAACCCAACTATCAACACTTGCTGCCAAGTGTGAGAGGCACAAAAACACAGCATCACTGCCTTGCCAGCACACTGAGTCCTACTTAAAAACAGATGAGCCTTGCTTCTTTCCAGAGGCAAAGCTGGGGTCTCAGTGCAATAGGGCACGGCTCAATTACTTTCAGACACAGCTTTGACAAACTGCTAAGAGACAACTCTCACAGCAAGTGCAGACAGTTAAAATTTCCAGAATTCCAGTCAACGGAATAAACAAAGCTACAGAGCCCTGGTGGCGCAATGAGTAAGAGCTCGGCTGCTAACCAAAAGGTCAGCAGTTTGAATCCACCAACCGCTCCTTGGAATCCCTATGGGGCAGTTCTACTCTGTCCTATTAGGTCGCTGAGTCCAAATCAACTTGACAGCAATGGTTGGCTTTGGGTTTTACAGAACTAATCCTCACCATGACCTGGGAGGTAAGTGTAGGGAACCACACTCTACAGATGGGGAAAGTGAGGCTTAAAGTGTTTAGCTAACACCTGGGAGGACAGAGGTAGCACTGCAGAGGCCCCGCCCCCAGTCACCAGGCTTCTCCCTTTCTGGTCCTAACACTCCCATGTTCAGACTCACCCATTGTCTCCTCCAAACACGTAGATGGCATCTTTATAAGCCACCACCGTGTGCTTGCTTCGCCTGGAAAGAAAGAAGGGTGGTGAGGCCGAGACCCTCTTGGAGGCACCCAGGGGATGAGACTAAGCAGGAGAACGGCCACAGAAGTCGGCTAATACCTCTCCACTGTGGAGAACTGCTGAGACTACCAACTTCTATCAGTACCCTAGAGGATCCTGCGCAGGGACCCGTGACTCCGCCCCGGGACTATGAATCTCCCCTCTCCACGGGAAAGCACGCAGGACCTTGGCCCGAGGCCCTCAAATACCACTTCGCCCCAGGTCACCCCGCTCTGGGACCCCTGGGATTCTCCTCCCCTGTCCTGGGCACTGTCCTGAACCCACCCTCCCCCATTGCCAGATCCCGCCCAAGAACCAAGCCCCACCTCGCCTTTGGACCCCGCCCGCCCGTACCGAGCGCCCACGAACTCGTCGCAAGGCGGGAGGCGCCGCCAGCGATGGACAGTCTCGAAGGGCCCAAAGTTGAGCGTTAGGTACTCCACGCTGTCCGAGCAGCTGTGGTCAAAGTCCACGCTTGGGGCCACCTTGGACCGCGCGCCGCCTACCAGGGTCCCAGCCCCAATCGGGACCCCCGAGCCACCCGGCCCAGCCATCCAGGGTCCACGCCCGCTCCGCCGTCGGCTCCGTGGGTCGTGCGGCCACCGCCCCAGGCCGCCCAGTGGGACTACATTTCCCGGCAATCCCTGCGCCGACGCCGCAGAACTTCCGGCTAGTGCCGTGCTTTCGCTCGTTCGAACTTCCGGACAGACTTAACGCACCTAGTGACACTGAGGGCCAGCGTGGTCCCTTGGGCGTCCCTTCCTGGCTAGCATGTAGCCTTCCGGGAAGCATTTCCGGCCAAGTACGGGCGCCCGGTTACCCCCTGCAATGAACGCGGCGTCCTGTCCCCAGTCCCGCCCGGACTGCGCTTCACTGGCCTTGCTGGACCTGCGGCGTTCGGAGACCCTCCCCGGCGGGCCTGCAGTACCCGGCACGCCCTGTCTGCGCGTGGCTCCAGCTGGGACCGTCTGCCGGTCCTGGGATCCCGCGGTGGAGGGTTCCTTGCTCGCAGCGGCCTCGGCTTGCGGCCCGGCCCTCCTCTTCCTGCTTGCATCCTCAGCCCTGGCCCCATGGGTCTCCCCTCAGCGTTCTTGTTGGCTGGGAGGCAGCGTGGCACAAAGAAAAGGGCAGGGCCTTTGAATTCTCATTCCTTGTTTTCTACTTAATAGCCGACCCTCGCTCTTCGTCCGCAGAATGGGGATTCGAAAAGCTCCGGCAGCTGCGAGAATGGAGTCTGTCTCAGGACCCAGCTCTTACAGCCCTAAGTGGGCAAATGCACCCCAAGACCTTCTAGTTTCTGTAGAAGCGTTTCCTGTCTCAAGTCCTTTGCTCATGCTGTCCCTTCTACCTATGAGTCGGAATCGACTCGACGGCAACGGGTTTGGGTTTTTTTTTTTTTTTTAAATCCTGAGGCTATCCTCCTTAATCTGATACTGCCCATTTTACTTGTTTTTTTTTTTTTTTTTTTTTTGGTCCCTTCTACCTGGAGTGTCCTTCAAAATCCAGATCCAAAGCACTCCCTGGAGATGCCTTCCCTGACCCCAGGGGGAGAATCAGTTTCTGCCTCCTCTGGGCGTCCACGGGTTGAACTTCCCTGATGTGGCACTGAGCATTCTGTGATTGTGCTTGTCCCCCGCAATGAATGTTTGCCCAATCATGCTGGGAATCACACAGATCTGCAAATGTGTGCGTTTTAATTTTAAGATCATGTCTAAGATGTTGCAGGGTTCCAAAACAGAAGTTCCAAAGAGAAGAAGCAGGGCCTATCCTGCCTCCAATACCAGTCATCTGTGGCAGCCAAGGTATCTTCTTGAAGCTGAAGCCTCTCCAGAGGGGAGCCAGGCAGCTGAAGGGGAGCACTATGGAGGGTTCAGGTTCTGCCCTGGGGGATCCTGGAAAATTGGAAGTTCGCACCTGCCCCCAGGAACTTGGCCTCTGACCCTGGTGCCCCAGCCTGCCTGCCCAAGTATGTTGCATGTGAGCTCAGGATCCTTTCCCCGTGAGCCAGGACATGTCGCCAGTCCTACAAGAATGAGAAAAGGAGGGATCAGAGCAGAAGAGAGCAAGGTCCCCTCACTCTGGGCACTGCAAGCAGCTGGACCATGAGGGAAGCATGGTGCCTGTTCCATGCCAGGCACTGGTGCCAGAGGGATGTCTACATGGGCAGAGAGAAGTAGACCAGTGGAGGCTCTGGGCTGCAGTGACAAAAATGCACAACAGTCAAGGACAGAGGAGAACACACGTACTTGCTGTACAGCACAAACAGCCTTTGCGAGGGCAAGAGGGAGAGAGAGAGAGAAAGCCCAGTAGAAGGCATGTCATTCAATGGTCTTCCATTGCTTCCAGCTGTGGCCTCCCTATCTCCCACCTTGTGGCTCCAGCCCCCTGCTTCCCAGTGGCCTCCAGGCTTTCCCCAGTCTCTAGAGGCTCTCTGGAAGCAGTGACTGTCCAAGAAATTGCCCTTGACCACACACAGACACCACAGGCCCCTTTCCTGCCTGTCTCCCTTGAGCTCATATACCAGCCGACTCCCAAACCGCAGCCCATGCCCCACAATGCCCTGGGACTAAGCAGGGGGGCTTCAGGCCCCCTCCACTCTCACCTTCCTCTCCAGGCCTCACTCCCCACACTCACTCCACTTCCCGCTTCCGGATGGCTCGACCTGAGGCCAGCACCTCAGCCACCTTGGACACGATGGGGTCGTAGTTCATGCTGGCCACAGCGATCACCTCGTCGCCTCTGCAGGGAGAGGGTGGCTGAGCCTGAGGACTACCTCGCGGTGGCCCCCTCCTCAGAGGACCCTGACACACTGATGATGTTCTGGGACAGAGATGGGTCTTGCCCATCTTGCTGGTTGGACAGCAGCAGTGTCCTAAGCACCTAGCCCTCCCTGCTTTGCACCTGCAGCTCAGGAGTGGGCTCCTGTCCCAGGATCACCACTCTCTACCTGTGTGACTTTCCTCAACTGTAAAAGCAAGTGTCAACACCCACCTCAAAGAGCTGTCCTGAAGATGAAATGTGTGGCCTCATGCTCCTACTCCTCACCTGTCTCTGCCACGTCTCCTGCCTCGCATGCCTCCCTCTGCCACTCGGTCCTCCTCCCAGACCGAGCTCCCACTTCCTCGCGCCCCACCTCCGCGCCGTTGCTCTCACTTGGTGTAAAAAGCCACGAACTTCAGCTCCTCCAGGTCCCCCTGAATGATGACATCGTCGAATCCTTCTCCGTAACCTGTGGGCCGGGCCGGCAGGCGGCGCCCACGTGAGCCGCGCGAAAGGGATGAGGCTTCACAGGTTCCACGCCCTGGACCCTCCTAACTCCTCCCTGGACCCTCCACGACCTTGGTCCCCACTTTCTTAGGTAAGCCCTAGCTCCGCCCTCAGCGAGCTCCTTCCTAGCTGCTTATTTCTAGTGTGGTCATGGCCCACCCCTAACTCCAAGCCCCGCCCCTGCACTCCGCAGACACCTCACTTAGCCCCGCCTCCGTACCGTCCGAGCCCCACCCCAGCCCCGCCCCCGACGCTCAGTCCAGCCCGAAGACTCTCTCAGCCCAGCCCCTGAACGCTCAGCCCCGCCCCCGTCCGCAGTTACCCGCGTAACGCAAGCTCTTGCCGAACATGGCGGTCCAGAGGTAGGGCAGTGTGCTGATCTCTGCCTCCTGCGCAAGCATGTTCTGGGCCGCCACACGCCCTGCAGGACCCAGGCCCCAACCCTCATCACCACTCCACATCGCCTGCCATGGGGGCCCGACATGTGGGGCTACTCGTCCTCACCTTCCCCCCATCCCCATGGTCAAGAGGCCATCTTTTCTCTGCCACTGCCACCCTCTATTGTAGCCAGTTGGTGAAGAAAGGACACCTGGCGCAAGGCTAGCCAACCAGATTCTTCTGGGAAATTTGAAATGAGGTGCCCTGGGCCTGGAAGGTCTGCTTCCTGGGGCTTCGGGACCATTTGGGCAGGCCTGAGGTGGGAGGTGTGAAGTGCCCAGGGAAGCAGAGGTGACAGGTACACACAGAGCCCCTGAGAAAAAGGCCATGGTGGCTTCCCAGTTCCTATGAGGCCCCGCTGGACCCCTGCAGCTGGGTGTTAGGGAAAGGCTTCTAGTCTGTCCCAGTAAAACCCGTTATACTTGAGTAGCCTTTGGCGCCTTACAACCTAGCAGCACCTTTAGACTTTATACTTGGGTAGAAACTGGTACCAGCAGACCCTCAGATAAAGTGAAGGCAGAGGGAGGGGAAACGGTGCAGGTGGAGTCCCTTATCCCAGACTAGGGGTCTGGTGGTCCTCCTTATGAGGTAGGGAGGCAGCTAACTTGCTGGCTCCTGCAGTTTAGGGGCTTATACCAGGTGCACAGAGTACATGAGGCTTGGGGGTGTTATGGATTGAATTGTTTCTCCCCAAAATATGTGCTGGATTCATGACCCCAATGCCACTGGATGTAACCAATTTGGAAATAGGGTTTCTGTGTTATGTTAATGAGCCCTATCAGTGTAGGGTGTGTCCTAAAACTAATCACTTCTGAGTTATAAAAAGAGGAGATTAAACACAGAAGCAAGCACAAAAGGAAGAAGATAGATGCCACATGACGACTGCCAAGGAACCAAGGACGGCCAGGGCTAGAGAAGGTGAGACAAGAATCTTCTCCCAGAGCCGACAAAAAGCCTTCCCCAAGATCCAGTGTCCTGAATTCGGACTTCTAGCCTCCTGAACTGTGAGAAAATACATTTTTGTTCTCTGAAGCTACCCACTTGTGGTATTTCTGTTACAGCAGCACTTGGAAACTCAGCGGGGGCATGGTGGCCACCAAATGTGAGAGGGAGGCTATTCCTCAGCACCACCACCCCACTAAACCCAGGCCTCCAGGCACAGATGGCCACCTTCCAAGGGCTTGCCAAAGCAATTGAGTTCATAGAGCTAGTCGTGGCCCAAAGGAGGAAAAGGCCCTGTAAACACTGGGTGGATAGTCCCAGGGTGACTGTGCAGGTCTGTCAGAGAAATTCTATAGGACATGTGTCCCTGAGGACAGAAGAGAAGGCGAGGCTGATGGAAGGCCGGCTGCAGTAGTCGGGCTGTGATGGGCTCAATGGGGCATCCAGAGGACACTGACTCTGGGGTCAGCCTGAAGGGAGGTCCCCGGGGATGGGCCATAGAACTGGTGCAGTCACCTGGATGAGGCTGGCAGACAGCCCAGAACAGAGCCTTCGATGGCCAACAGTGGCCAGGACCCAAGGCCAGCCACTGAGGGGTGGACCTCAGGGAGGCTGAGACCCTGCCATACCCTGGGCATGTGCCATCTGCCAGTGTGGGATGTTCACTTTTCGGTTGTTTCTCCAGGCCAGGGGGAAGGTGACAGCATCACCGGCTGCAAACACACCTGGGACGCTGGTCTGCATCATCTGTGGGGAGAGGCCGGGCTCCATGGGGTCGGGATCCAGCCTGGACCTCCCACCCCTCTTGTCAGAGCCCAGCCACACCTTGTTGACTGGGATGAAGCCTCGGGAGTCCAGACAAATGCCACTCTGCCTCAGGAAGCCTGTGGCGGGCACTGCGCCTGGTGGGACAGAGGCTACCTCGTCCATGCTCCAGTCCCACCCTCTCACACTCCATGAAGCTCTCCAGGTGGGGTTTGGCACATCATGACCCCCAACCCG